TTCACTGAATAGTCAGGACTCAGTAATCTCTAGTAAGAGCAATGCGGCCGCACAATGGTCATAAGACTGGTCAAGGTGTGGGAATCGCTGATTTTGGCTAATTGACCCCTGTGCAGCTAGGACAGTTGTCACTAGAATTGCGGTCATCATGTGACTATCACTACAGGCCCAGAAACTTAAGGGGCTGACTATTCAATTTGTTCTTTTACACTATCCCAGGTAATGATTTTCTGATTTGTAGTGGACTTGATATTGATGTTGCATTACTAGCCACGCCCGTAACGTATTACGGCGGAAGGTGAAATCGCTAGATCTCTATCACCTATCACTCTTCACAAGACGATGGACCCTACTACTGCGTCCGACAGCCCCGTTGCACCAATATTTGTCTATGGGACGTTAATGGCCGCCCCTCTCCTGGCCTGGGCAATAAAGGGCGACTCGTCGAAAGCGGGAGACGTCCTCTCTCAGCGTAAACCTGGGACAATAACGGGTTCGAAAAGGCGCCGCGTCCATCGCCGTGATTATCCTGCGCTCATCCGTAGCAATGACACTCGCACTGTTGATGGATATGTAATCTTTCCCACCAGCCCCTCGGAGTGGAAGAAATTGGATAATTACGAGGGTAGTTCGTACGAACGAACCCCAGTTGTAGTGGATATGGCCGATGGAAGCAAGTTGGATGCATACACATACGTGTGGAAGGGGGAAGCAGAGACTTTAGCAGATGAGGATTGGGTTTTTGCGATTGAGACCGAGAGGCTGGACGCCTGGCTCAAGCGCTTTGGTGGAATGGTGCTTGCCGGTTGATCGATGTCGATGTCTCGTCCCTGCACTGTCATCTGCGCTCAAGGTCGTCGAGTTCTCTTGACAAACAAATCCTCCGGGACCTTCCATCAGAACATCGGTCATATTATCTCCAACTGCCAGTTTGTTCAGGTACGGATAGTATCCAGCACTTATCATATAAATCTGTACTAGTGTTAATCAGGAATACACGTTGAATCGCATGGTCTTGCACCCGACCGTGACATTATGGAGGCTGCGGCACATTGCGTCGTATTGCATGCCTCCCATCTCGTATCCACCAAGTTTTTCATGGCAGTTCATGCGCGGTTCCAAGCGCATATCTTTAGTCCTCCCGATTTCTGTGTATCGTTTAGCGAGGTCATCATGAATCTACTGCGAAAGTTAGTATCCATGTATGTGTATCATGTGCTGGCAGTAAACAAGAATAAGGCTTACCTTAGTCCACAAATGTCGCAGTCCACAAGGCCCGCGAGATTCTACTTAGTCTTAGATATAGACGTTGTTGCCCCCAAGGTGATAATATCGATTCAAAACTTCGTTCCCGCCAACACCGTGACCACGTGTTGCTGACTAATCTTTGCCGATTCATATTCTCTTAAACTTGTCGGATCCCCTTGTCCCTGCCATCGACGACGACGGCGACCAACAGTCTTTGCTCATCGTCGGTAATTACGGCGACATCCGCGAGCAAGCTGCTTTTCTGATCTGTGGCGCTGCCTCGGATAACTTAGGCAGCCTACGACCTACGCGCTTTCAGGTGTGATTCTGATCTCCGCTCGTTCACCTCGCTATTCGACATGGACGTCGAGGACGACGTAAATCAGAACGCCGTGGCAGGCCCGTCAACGATAACTCAAGACTATAACTTCGTATTTCTACCACCACCAGCTGGTACGGGCATCACTAGTTGTTTTCATTCTTATAGCGTTTGATTACTACTTTTCACACCCGACTAATCTCACAAATTACAGCACATCCTCCTCCACGAACATTCCTTGCAAGCACACAGGACATTCTTGGTCGCTTTAATCTTCATCCCGCTTATGACAAGCATGTCCGCCCATCCATTCCCTCCCAGATGCCATTGTCACACGCTTCTGTACCACCACTCACACCGGGCGCCCTGCTTCCAGACAGTGATGACAAAATGAAAAAGAATTCCTACCGATTCCTCATAAAGAGCGTCCCGGGGAAGCACTCGATGAAGAAAGACGACTACCTTACTACGATGATGCAGGTTCCACCGAAGCAACGCATACCAATCACAGAGTTCGATGAACGGACACAAAGGGAAGCGTTCACTGTCAGTGCAGAAGGTCTGAAAGGGGTGCGCTCTTCTCTCTCTACCATACTCGTATCTTGATGATATTGCACCAGTGGAATGTGGGCACTTTGGTCGTGGAGTCTGCACAGGCAAAGGAAGACAGGAGAAAACGTGTACGTGCGGCTTTCTCATCTCTACAGGCTTTGATATTTAGATATCATGTTTTTGCTGCTCCCAGAAAGAGCTCAAAAAACTCGCGCGTGCTCAAGCCCAAGGTCTTGTACCAGGAGGCATACCCGGCGCACCCGGCACACTCCCCCCGCCACAAGTGGCGCCATCAAATCCAAGTCAACCATCCGCACAACAACCGCCTGCAGCATCACAAGTGCAACCCATTCATTCAAAGCCTCATGCTCCTGCTGTAACCATACCGCCTCCTACAGCATCAACTCGGACAACTACACCGACAAGCGCTGCACCGCGATCAGCTGTGCAGAGCAGTGCCGCGTCGCAACGGATAGATACGTCCGCCCTCGGCGGCATGCGAGGAAAGAAGCGTGAACTCGAGGATGGTCCTGCGTTACCACCCAACCCGAGCGTAAATGGTGCGAGCATGTCGATAGGCGTGGCTGGTGTCCGTGCGGGGTCGAATGGTGTCCGTCCAAGACCCGTTAAAAGGCCAAGGATGGTGAGTCTCTAATTTGGCTGATCTCGATTTCTTGATTGTGCGCCCATGAGGCTGCCATGATCGTGGTTTTCATAAAGAAGAGAATTATGATCTCATGCGCTTCTTGCAGGACATTCAAGGTCAGGCAAGAGAAATGCCGATGCAGCAGCCCACGCCACAGGGTGCATGAGGCTTTCGACTCTTGCAAATGCCTAATTAGTATTCCATGCTACTCTCCTATCTTGACGGACGCAGCTGTCATACACGTCAAGCGGCTTCATCCCACTATCTCCTACCCACATTCGCTGGCAACGGGTTACCGACTTTCCCGCGCTCAACGGGACTGCTAATGGCATCATCCTGGGTATCATGATTGGAACATCATCATATCATTTGCATAGTCCAGAATCACATCATTACCCGCATGACGGGGCCCTTCAGACTGTTCATCCCCGGACGGGGACGGTGCAGTCATAGCACGTAGTGATTATCTATCGTTGCTATGTTCATTGACCATGCCTTCGTTCCGTTTACCCCCACGCACACCTCTGCACTGCACGCACAATACACTTATACTTACTTACTTGTCTAATGTTGCAGTTTGGTCTCGACGTTGCAGCTGCGAGAAGTTCATGGTGTCGTCAATGGTCACCTCCAAGCTTGAAAGATATTGAGTCATAAACATTCATCTTATAAAGTAATTGAACTTCATTTGGCTTACAACTCGGCTTCAAATGTTTCTCAGGATGAAGCTTGATAAGATCTAGGCCCCATCGATATCATGATAAGCGCGTTATAGTCTGAATAAGAAGAAACGGTCATCTTTCTTCTATTTCCTACAGGAGATTAGACCACAACTCTTGACAGTGCGCAGTGATCACCCGTTTTAAGTGACGATGATCTCAGCGGAGTCGCTTTTATTACAGCTGCCCCAGGATATACTTGTGAGTGTTTTGAGATCGACCTTTGATTTGTTATCGCCGCTTACCGGTATATTGCTCAGACATTGGCCCGGGGTGTGTTGGACCGTTCAGTTACAGACTTTCAGCAGCTCTGCGATCGAATTACAGATTGCTCTGTAACTGATTTATGGGTACTGCAGCCTGTATTTTACATGCACCTCGACACAGATCACGTTCCTTCACAGTCAACTCCAGCCGTTACCACCGATATTGAGCTCGCCCAGTGGTCCCTTATCGGGATTGTCACAACTTTGAGCAACATCGATGTTCATGCGGAGAAACGATGTCTCCTTTCCGCTTGGAACTGTATTGCTCCCTGGCTCCTCTTCTTTCATAACCAGTTCATTATGTGCGGGGCCAACTATAGACCCATCGACAGGACGCCTGCCATCAAGCTTGTTGCCAGCATGCTCTTTCACGGCTTGATTGCTGGCCGCGACTCTGACGGGAACTCAAAACTCGCCACTACACCCATCCTTTTCCGCCCGATCGCAGAGTTGTGGATGTTAGCGATTGAAACAAAAGATGAAGATGTGTTGAACATTCAAATGCCATTACATGACCTCGGTCGCATCACTTCTCTTCGACTTGTCACCATCTTCTTGGTTGGCGAATGCATGCGCAGCGAATCCTTTGTGAACACACTAGTGGAAGTGTCAGGTGGCATTGGCCCCTTCACTTCTGCAGCTCTGAAGTATGTCAAGGCCATAGCATCAGTGACCAATTTGAAGGACCCTGATATAACCTCCGAGGCCGTCCGGATCGAGTTGATTCAAGTCGTAACAATGTTTTCGACCTGTGTTGGATTTATCACAGGAACGAGCATGCAAAGTGGTGCAATACGGGAAGGATTCATCGTCCGACACTCCATCAGACATATTTTCTCAACTCTCCGTATTCTGCAGCCTCTTATCCCTGGCAGAGGGAGCACCGAGAAAGCCCTCGCCTCGAGTTTCCAGTACCTCTTCTTTCTCCTTGAACGTGCCGACGTCCCTGTCTCAGTGTTCCACGAAGCTCTCCGCGCACGTGCCCTTGAAATAGCGGTTCGTATGGCTCCCTTCGAACCCGCGAAGATGGAAGCGAATCTTCATAATATCAGCGCAGATTTTTTCGAGATATTATACCATTATCTTGTTCACGACAAAATCTTGACCTACACCTGCAAACATGTGAACACCTGGTCAAACACTCTCGGACCGATCGCGAGACAAGACGAAAACCTCTGGAAGGATTGGTCCGCAATGGAGCGGACGATACGATCGTATGTCAGTCTCAGGTCTAAGGAGGAAATGATAAGGCGGCCATTGTCCAATGAAAAGGGCTGGTTTCTAAAAGTAGGTCACAAACCTCGTTGTTTCGTTCCTGCTGATCATTCAACTTGTTTTTCAAAATAGTGTTATTGTAGTGGCATTACAAAAGACATTCAGCTGAGGCAATGCGCGGGATGTCAAGTTGTGCGGTACTGCTCAAAGCAATGCCAGCGTGATTCATGGTATAGTCACCATAGGTTGAGCTGCAAATTTCTCAAGGCAGCTGTCGGTAAGTCTTTTCGATGTTTCAGAGACATTGTTCCACTCACAATCTATTCAGGCTCATCGACACCGCACTACGTGAAGCGTAGTCTCCGCCTTCTAGCTGCCCTAGAAGACAGACAGATGTCATGCCAAGGGGACGACGACATTCCGAAGTTAGTCGCCGCTGCGCAACAACAATATCCGACAGACCAGGAACGGCTGGTGGTCGAGCTCGGTGTAGATAAGCTTGATGTATCAGTTCGGCCTCTTCGACACTATCTCTTCCTGTTCAATGGGCTCTCTGAAAACGACATCGTGGAAAGCTTATCGTCCTGGAACTTGAAAGAACCAAGGGTCCATCGATCATTCTTGTGTTCGGTGATTGCGATAAACGATCAATATTATTCACGACAAATCTTATTCAGCCCACGTACTGCATTAAACATGGAGATGAAGTTGGGCCGTAAGCGTCAGTAATGTGCGTGAATTTCTGTTGCTCCGGTGTTGCTTGTGCTTGTTCATTGATCTTCCCTAGTATTGCGTCAGGTGGATCTGGTCTGAAGGGACCGGTCGATCCCCGATAGGGACGACGCAGTCGTAGCACGTACTGATCATCCAAAATAATTGTTAGTGGTACATCCATTGTTCTCTCATAGTGCACATACTTATTTCAACACTGACCGCACAACATTTGCAATTGGAGTCACTTACCTGCAATGTTGCAATTAGGAGGCTTTGTTGTTAATTGGTATCATAGGATGTAAAAATGTACTCAACTTGACTTCGCGTTAACCTCGAGTAGGCATCCGAATGTTTTTTGAATGTCAGAGAAGGATCGAACTTTCTATAAATGGTCTTACCAACGGTCTCAGGCTGAGTCAGCGGGTGCTAGTGATCAGGATCGATTAGTATGAACCACCGTGACTGAGAATGATCCCAGCGACGCAACTGTCGCAGCTCCCCCAGGATGTGCGAGTGAGTGTTTTGCGATCGATCCTTAATTTGTTGTCGCCATAACTGATGCAGATGTGTCACTCAGGAACTGGTTCGGAGAGTGTACATGAATCGTTCGGTTGCAGACTTTGAGAAGTTGTGCAATCGACTTCCACGTTGCTCCGCATCCGAACTATGTATACTGCAGCCAGTGCTCTACATGTATCTCGATCCAGACCGCATTCCTGCAAAGTCAACCCCAGCCGTTGCCACTGATATAGAGCTCGTCTACAAGTCACTTCTCGTGATTGTTACAACTTTGGGTTATATCGATGGTTCTGGTATTGGCTCGGCGGGTTCGGAAAAGCAATATCTTATTTCTGCCTGGAACCGTGTCGCTCCCTGGCTTATCTTCTTTCATGACCAATTCATCATGTGCAGAGCCAACTATCGACCCGTCGACAAGATGGTTGCCATCAGGATTGTTGCTAGCTTACTACTGCATGTTGTAATGGTTAGTGGCAAGCGCGGCGGAACTACATTGCTTACCACTCCTGCCCTTTATCGCCCGATCGCAGAGTTGTGGTTGTTAGCCCTGAAAACCAAAGACAAATATGTAGTGTGCTTGTCGTCGTCGCCCGGCCCCGCTCACATCACTTCTTTTCGAGTTTTCGGCTCCTTGGTGGTTTCATCATGCATTCAGGACGAATCCTTTGTCACCATACTACTCGAAGTGTCAGGTGGTATTGACGCCGTCACTTCTGCAGCTCTGAAATATGTCAAGAGCTTACGATCGATGGCTAAAACCCCTGATATAGCTTCCGATAATTTCAAGCTCGAGCTGCTTGTCCTAGTGTTTTCGCACTGTGTTAAAATTATCGCAACGACGAGCACGCTCGATGCGGCGATACGGGAAGCATACCTCCTCCGGCAGTCCGTCAAAGAAATTTTTGGGGCTCTCCGTGTTCTTCAGTCTCTTTTTCTGGGCAAAGAGAGCATGGCGCAAGCCCTTGCCCCAAGTTTTACGTACCTCGACTTTCTCCTTAAATGTGCTGACGACCCTGCCTCAGCACTCCATCAAGCTCTTTGCGCACACGCCTTCGAAACAATGGTACATATAAGTCCTTCCGGACCCCTGGAGGAGTCAAAGCTAGTGGAGACGGATCCTCGTAGGATCAACGAGGCGTTTTTTAGGACCTTATTCAAATACAGTCTTGACGACAAAATCTTATCCTACGTCTGTAAACATGTGGACGCTTGGTCTAATAATCTCGGACCAATCGTGAGAGAAGAGAAATACCTCTTGGATATCTGGTCCGGTGTAGAGCAGACCATTCGAACATATGCAACACTTAGGTCCAAGGCAGAGACGATATGGTGGCCATCACCGAGTAAAATGGGCCGGGTTCTACAGGTCAGTCACAGACTTCATTGCTTCATCCCTGCTGATTCGTCAACTTAACACTACCAGTGTCGCTGCGATGGTACTGCAGAAGACATCCGCTTCAGGCAATGTGCGGGATGTCAAGTTGTGCGGTATTGCTCAAAGCGATGCCAGCGTGATTCCTGGCACAGTCACCATAGGTTGAGCTGTATTTTTTTAAAGGCAGCTGTCGGTAAGTCTTCTCGATAGATATGCGCATTGTTTCCACTGACAATGTACCCAGGGTCATCGACACCGCACCGCATCAAACGTAGTCTGCGTCTGCTAGCCGCTCTAGAAGTGGGCCATATCCAACGCAAGTGGGACAATATTCTGAGATTGTTCGCCGCTGCACGGTGCGAATATCCAAAAGATCGAGAACGACTTGTGCTCGAACTCAGTCTTGATAAGAATGACGAATCAGTTCGACCTCTTCGAGACTACATCTTCCTGTTCAATGGGCTCTCTGAAAATGAGGTCGTGGACCGCATATCATCATCCTGGCCGAATTCGAGGGGCCAACTTCACGGACTATTTCTTTGTTCAGCCATCACAATACATGATCGATATTGGTCGCGGCAAATTTTATTCAGTCCGCGTATTGCATTAGATATGGAGATAGTGCGGCAAACGCTCAGCCGTAACTCTCAGGATGTATGAATTCCTGTACATCGTCTGGCGGGACTTGCTTGCGTTTTTTTTTCCATCTGCTGTATCAGGTCGTGCTGCCGGTCCCGACAGGAATGACGCAGTCATATCACTTCTGATTAGTAGTAGTACGACAATTCATTAATCATTGCTTTCTCCAGTCGCCCTGTTTACCCCTCACGCACTGTATATGTAGTACAATTCAATTGGAGCTATTTAGATATATATTACTTCAGAGTGAAGTCTTTTGGATCGTAGACCCTGTGTCAGACATGATCAATGACCAGCTTCAGTCGTGAGGAAGCTGCAGCCAAGCATTCAAATATTCATTGTCAAAATTTTCTTTTCCGCATCACGATTGATCGCGTACCGAGAACGAGATGGCAGCGCCAGCCTGATAGCCGAATTGACAAAGTACGAGTCTGTACGCTGCCGAAATGTTTGTGGCCAATCTTGAAGTCAATTGTTTGCTGAATATTTCAACACTGACCGCACAGCATTTACAATTGGAGCTACTTCAAACCTCTACTTACCTGCGATGTTGCAATTAGGAAACTTTGTTGTCCTGGTATCATAGCCCGCCGCCAGGAGTGTCTGCCCTGACTATCACAAAATTTGTTCACACGTTCTTGCCTTGTTCCTCGAACTTATTTTCACGACTTTGATCATTCCGAGTCTCTGATACACAATTGAAAGTCTCAGTGCTTGTTAGGAGCACCTATTTTTGACTTCAGGACAAGTTGAACAGACTGGAAAATACAACAGGCTGCACGCAGCCACAGTCGAATGCTACGGTAAGATTGTCTCGGGTTGGTTTGGATATGGCGCTAACTGTGAAGGATTTAGTATGGTGCATTTTGCATCAGTTTCTATCGGGGTTTCACCGACAAAGGAGATCAAGCAAGTACACATCAGTGATCACTCGGCGACTGATCCCTGGAGTACTGTCCTGGACAGAGGACTTGCGACATGGGAGGAAGGCGAAGCGTTGAGGTGTACCGTACGTTGACTGTCCGGACTCCAGGGAAGTAAGTTGTGCCATTTCACTTGTTTCATTTCTCAAGTATGTACAAAACTCTAACAGTGATATAAATGAGGACATCGACTCCGAATCATACTCGTTCATGGGGTTGTATTATAGGCAAGCACTTTCCTAGTCTATACCACTTCTCCCACCCATTGAAAACGTCCACTAGTACGTTGAGTTTGCATCAGTCACCCCAGGCCCTTACCATATTCTCGCATTCGCTACGCTCCCAGGCTCGAGCCCTCAGAGGAAGGAAGCGAGGCAGAGACGCTGCTGATATTCATTTCGGAAATTATATGGCCATCAGTTTGCCATCGACTACACAATGAGCGTCAGACTTTGTTTTCTCCCAGTGCTCTATTGTATTTGCATCAATCTATCATCCTGCACGCCCCCTGAAACGAGATGTCCACTATCTATCTTCCCATCGAACTGCATCACCCCTCTGCACAACCTGTGCATTCTGAGATCCGCTCGCCGCGCATTCTCGGCGTTCTCAGATTTTGATCCTTCAACAGTCGGAGTCCTGAGGTGTCGGTGTAGTCTCGGGCGTCGTTATGGTAGCCGGTTCATGCGAAATATGGACGGCGTTTCCAATCCACGTTCCCACTCAGGCTACCCTGCGAATGTGAGTCAACAGGAGGGCATCAACTGCATGATGGATTCGGTGTGGCACGGTGTGGATCGGGTTTCATTGGAATGAGCGTTGATAGTGTGCATTGGCAGATGTATGGCCTGGTGAGTTATTGCCTCAACTTCTTCAAATCTCCCACTTTCTGATCGTGTGCCAACAGGATGTTGCCGCCTTCAACCATTGTGCATCTGAGCATGATTTTCTTTTATCTCCTTTCTCAACGCTCTCTTGATAATATGGGTGTTGTTGTATCTTCATCATACTCATCAATCACGGAATCTCACGTCTCTCGTGAACCTCTTACCACCGCATCAACTCCAAGATACAAATCAAACATTCTGGGCTCACCATTTCTGGCATTCAGATGATACAATAACTCTATTTTCGAGGCAGAGAGCGAGAGGGAGCACATGAAGCGATAGATCACCTAAGGGTGGGATGAGACACTGAGATGTATGCTCGCTGAGAGGTATTGGTAGCCAGAGCAGGACGCGAATCTATTTCGTCATGCGAATCTCCCTATTTTTGACGGCTGACTTTTCTGGTCCGGTGTCATGCCGGCGCAATGTGCATTTGCTGAGTGACCTTGGATGAGCTGTTATGCTCTCCGGGCCTGTGCTGGAGAGGCGAAGAGAGATGAGATGACGAGCTTTCCGATGGTCATACCGTGATCAGTATGTATCAAACAGATGAAGTAATACTTGGTTGCTGATGCACATGTAGCAAAAAGATCTCGAGAATAGCATCGGAAACAAGGGGACAAGATCACAAACAGTTCTTGATGTTGTTTGACCTTTTGTGGAGTTCAAGTGTTTTGCTGGTTCAAATGTTTTACGACCTACATCCTCGATGATCCCCTGGATTAATTTATCTTTCCTCATGCAAAAAAAATCCACTTCGACCAATCGAAGCAGGAACGGTCATCATCGAATTCCCCGATCTCTTTTCGCTGATCTCCGTACCGGATTGTGGTATAACTAGCACGAATGCCATCGTCTTACGTCCATCAAGTTCGCCTCTCACCCACTTCCATTCTCTATCAATATGATCATAGTCTCAAATGATCCCGCTTGGTGGTCGGTCATCAATGCAGATCGTTTGGGCAGCTATTTTGTAGGTTCGTGGAGAGCAGTCAGATGTTGAAGCTGACTCAGTCTACCTCGGTTGTGGTTTCGCAGTCGCCACCTTGGTTGCAGTGATGTATGATTGGGGTGAGCATGATAACATTAAAAGACTGCTGACGTCTTACAATTATTTTCAGCACTTACATTCGGACAAGAGGTATGTCGATGGTATGACCGGAGCAGCCATCTCGCTGAGAATGACTTCATAGGTGGAATTGATATGGGTGAGTAGGGTCTGGTGTCAGAGGAACACACATGAAAATAAACTTGATTCCAGAGACAACGATGGTCTGTAATGACAGTTATGTATCTCGGTGTATGTAGTTCATTTGTCGCAGTGCTATGTTTTGCTGACTCAAAAGTATCCTAGGCACGTTACCTTGGAATCTTATACGCTGCGTATGTCCGGAAGACTACACAATCGGTGTTGTGCTAATCGTCTATCTCTCATAACCAGCCTGATCTTTCTGGGCATGTCCCCTTAGTACATTCGCTGTCTTTGCTTCTTCTGACCAACGGCATTCAGACAGTGTTCCGACCATCTGGATGATAGATACAGTGAGTCTTCTTCACAGATACCTATTACTATTCCCCTCCAATTAACTGTGGCGCCTTGTAGCAGTGGGTGTGGTTCTTTACTAACTTCTTGGTTCACTAATGACTGCCACGCTATACTGCAACAGATGTGAGTCTGTTTGGAGTTTGCTACCCCAGGCTGGTCGCTGACTGGATTCGTCAGGCAAAATTGTCTACGTCGTATGTGTTTGGACGGGTGTTGTGGTATTTGCGATGCTGTGGGGTGAGGTTTGCACTTGCGATACCCGAGTGATATTGACTTGACTGAAACATGGTGCAAGTCATCATCATCACTCGGTTGCATGCGATGTATCAAGGATCCAGAAAGATCCTGATGTTTCTCATTGTCACCTTCCTGGCTGTCAACACTCTCGATGCAGTGGTCGCCATAATGACAACGATGCATACTTCAGGGGGTACGTTTAATTGTTAATGAAAATAAACGTGCACGAGACTGATTGATACCAGAGGAACTCATTCTCTACGGTACTTATCGGTGCCAGATTAACTATACGGAAGATGTCGTATTTATAATTGCCATTGCTTGGATACTCACCACCGTGTTGGAGGCCATCGCACTATGTCTCGCAGCCCGGATTGTGGTGAAACACTTCCGTGAATTGCGAAAACATTCGACAGGAGGGATTATCGAGGACTGTTTCACGGTGTTGATGAAAACTCACGTCGTTTACTTTGCGAGGTAAGCTCATTGTGATCATTGTTCCTTCTTTCCACTGAAGGGTCGGATGTGGCAGCTTTGTTACTGTTTCTTGCTTCCAGCTCATTCTTGGTTTCTATCCAACATTCATCACAGTATGTCAATCTTTCACTTGCCTATGCACGCTACCACAATTTATCGTTTCTACAGAGCAATTCCCTGCCCTCTCAGATTATTTCTGGGTTTCTTCAGATTTCGCAGGTCGTGCAGCTGTCTGTGTTGGGACCGCGCCTGATCCTTGGTGTTCGAGAATACCACGCTAAGCTCGTGGCCGATTCTGACGTAGCAACTGGTATGACCTCAATCGCTTTCCAGGAGCGAGTGGAAATATCGACTGGAAGTGGTGTGTGATAATCGGTGGAGTTCACGGTTGTCTAGTGCCCTCCAAAGAGCAGGAAAATTTGCTTTTCTTTATTACCACTTTCTTGAAAGTATTGATCGAAGTTCCGAAGTAGATTTCAAGGAGACATACAAAGTTTTTGTTGTATTATTTAGTCAAGTGATTTGCTATACCGTTACTGACACTGTTAAAATGAATATCCTGAATATCTATACTGGCACTAGCTATCCACACACACTTGCACCAACCATTAATATTGGTTCTTCTTTCCTGTCTGATAATGATCATTCACGCAATTGCTTAACCAAATGAGGGCGCGAGAGCCAAGTTGAGCAACAGTGCACAGCCTTGGTTCCTCAATAACCTGTCCTCGATTTATCTTCTCGCCTCGCTCATTCAACGTCTTTCTCAGCTGATTCATGTCAAATGGCTCAATCGTGTCCAGGATTATTACAGAAGTGTTATCGGGGGATACATGTATCATCGTGATATAAAAACCACAAGTAGTAAGTTTGAATGCCCCTGCGTGCTTTCTGTAGCCGAGACCCAGCGCCTCTGGGGAGTCAAGGGAATCCAGGGTACTCAAGTCTGAGCATGGTACACCAAACATAAAATGGCTCGTTGATGTGACGCACCTGTGACCTAGGAACGGACATGCAGGCACCAGCACCAGCGATAGTGCAGGAGTCGAGCATCTGTTGTTTGATTTCAAGTAGTGGATGTGATAGCGAGTTTGAGACAGCGAACGGTCGATCTCTCGAAGTAGCTGGGTGGCGGGAGAGACCGTCTCTGGGATGTAGCAGGGCTTGGAAAGCGATTATGTGGATGCGGCCAAGATGTCTTCAGAATGACATCGACGATATCATGGGACCTTGATTTAGGTTTTCGTATTTGGAAAGTGCGTGCGTTAGGTTGTGAGTGGTACTCTGGGAGATTTGAGGGTATCGAACTCGAAGGGAATGTTCCATGATCTTTGAATTGTGTTGCATCGTGAATTGTCATAAGAACCATGTGTGTGCATAGGCCTGACTTCAGGCACGCGGCGAGACTGTAAATTTCAAACTCCGTACTTCGCTTGAATGTCGGAGAACGATCGAACTTTATGGTCTTTCCAACGGTCTGAGTGAGCGGGGACCGGGGTGCTAAGTAGTTGACCACTGTGACTCAATTTTACCGAGAATGATACCAGCAACGCAACTGTCGCAGCTGCCCCAGGATGTGCGGGTGAATGTTTTATAATCGATCCTTAGTTTGTTATCGCCATAACTGATGTGTCACTCAGAAACTGGTTCAGAGAGTGTACATGAATCGTTCGGTTGCAGACTTTGAGAAGCTGTGCAATCGACTTCCACATTGTTCCGCATTTGAGCTATGTATCCTGCAGCCAGTGCTCTACATACATCTCGATCCAGAACGCATTCCTGCAAAATCAACTCCAGCCGCTGCCACTGATATAGAGCTCGTCTACAGGTCGCTTCACGCGATCATTACAACTCTGGGCCGTATCGATGGTGGTACGGCAGGTTCGGAAAAACAACTTCTTATTTCCGCCTGGAACCATGTCGCTCCCTGGCTTATCTTCTTTCATGACCAATTCATTATGTGCAGAGCCAACTATCGACTCGTCGACAAAACGGCTGCCATCAGACTTGTTACTACCTTACTATTTTATGTCTCGACTCTTGGCGACGAGCGCAGCATAACCATATTGCTTACCACTCCTGCCCTTTATCGCCCGATCGCAGAGTTGTGGTTGTTGGCCCTGAAAACCAAAGACAAAGATGTAGTGTGCCTGTCGTCGCCGTCCGGCCCCGCTCGCACTACTTCCTTTCGAGTTTGCGGCGTCATGTTGGTTTCAGTATGCGTTCAGGATGAATCCTTTGTGACCATACTACTCGAATTGTCAGGTGGCATTGGCGCCGTCACTTCTGCAGCTCTGAAATATCTCAAGAGCTTACGGTCGATGGCTAAGGACCTTGACATAGTTTCCAATGCTTTCAAGTTCGAGCTGCTTGTACCAGTGTTTTCGTGCTGTATTGGAATTATTGCAACGACGAGCATGCTCGATGCGGCGATACGGGAAGCATACCTCCTCCGGCAGTCCGTCAAAGACATTTTTGGGGCTCTCCGTGTTCTTCAGTCTCTTCCTCTGGCTAGAGAGGCCATGGCGGAGGCCCTTGCCTCAAGTTTTACGTACCTGGACATTCTCCTTAAACGTGGCGACGACCCTGTATCAGCACTCCATCAAGCTCTTTGTGCACACGCCTTCGAAACAATGGTACATATAAGTCCTTACGGACCCCTGGAGGAGAAGGTAGCGGAGATGGATCCTCGTTGGATCAACGAGGCGTTTTTTAGGATCTTATTCAAATACAGTCTTCACGACAAAATCTTATCCTACATCTGTAAACATGTGGACGCTTGGTCTAATAATCTCGGATCAATCGTGAGACAAGATGAACGCCTCTTGGATCTCTGGTCCAATGTAGAGCAGGCCCTTCGAGTATATGGGACACTTAGGTTCAAGGCAGAAACGATATGGTGGCCATCACCGAGTAAAAAGGGCTTGGTTCTACAGGTCAGTCTCAGACTTCATTGCTTCATCCCTGCTGATTCGTCGACTTGACACTACCAGTGTCACTGCGATGGTACTGCAGAAGACATTCGCTTCAGGCAATGTGCGGGATGTCAAGTTGTGCGGTATTGCTCGAAGCGATGCCAGCGTGATTCCTGGCACAGTCACCATAGGCTGAGCTGTAATTTTTTAAAGGCAGCTGTCGGTAAGTCTTCTCGATAGATATGCGCATTGTTTCCACCGACAATCTACCCAGGGTCATCGACACCGCAACGCATCAAACGTAGTCTGCGTCTGCTAGCCGCTCTAGAAGTGACCCACAAGCAGCGCAAGTGGGACAATATTCTGAGATTGTTCGCCGCTGCACGGTGTGAATATCCGGAAGATCAGGAACGGCTCGTGGTCGAGCTAGCTCTTGATAAGTTCGAAGAATCGGTTCGACCTCTTCGAGACTACCTCTTCCTGTTCAATGGCCTCTCTGAAAATGAGGTCGTGGACCGCTTATCGTCTTGGTCAGATCCTAGGGAAGTTCAAGGACTTCAAGGACCATTCCTTTTTTCGGTCATCACGATACACGATCGATATGAATCACGACAAATTTTATTCAGTCCGTGTATGGCATTGAATATGGAGATATTTGGAAACAGTGTCGCAAACGCTCAACCGTAACCTTCAGGATGTGTGAAGTCCTGTACATTGTTTGGCGGGACTTGCATGCGTTTGTTCTTTGATCTGCTGCATCGGGTCGTGCTGGCCCCGACAAGGGATGACGCAGTCGGATCACTTCTGATTGATAGTAGCAAGAAGATTCATTAATCATTGCTTTCTCCAGTCGCCCTGTTTACACCTCACGCACTGTATATGTAGTACAATTCAACTGGAGCTATTTAGATACATATTACCTCAGAGTGAAGTCTTTTCAGATCGATTAATGACCAGCTTCAGTCGTGAGGAAACCGCAACCAAGCATCCATTGTCAATCTTTTCTTTTCCTACGTACCAACGTACACCGAATCTATACACACATCTGGAGCTGTTTTACAGACTTGTGGTGAATTCAAGTTTGTTTGGGATCCGTCGGAGTCTCAGAGAACAGTCGTAGTAAAATTAAAGCCCAACAAAAATTACAGGAGTACTAATCCATGTTCAGAACTTCCCACTGATTTCAGTCTCATCCGCGCTATGACGATGCAATGTAGGATCAGCTTTGTATGCGAGTGCTGCGTAGAGCGAAGACATACATCCATTGGTGATTCATATTTCTTCCTTCGCGATTCTAGATCTGACCCAATATAGAATATCAATATCGATGAACAAGTGCAAGCAAGACCTGAGCAACATGAGCTCACATACATTGCTGGTTACGGCTGAGCGTTGGTACTGTCTCCATATCTAATGCAGTATGTGGACTGAATAAGATCTGTGACGAATATTTATCATGTATCGCGATAACCGAACAAAAGAATGATCGTCGAAGATGGCCCCTTGGATCTGGCCATGACGATAAGCGGTCCACGACCTCATTTTCAGAGAGACCATTGAACACGAAGAGGTACTGTCGTAGAGGTTGAACTGATATCTCTTCCTTATCTATAGTGATCTTGACAACGAGTCGATCCTGATCTTCTGGATACTTGCATCGCGCAGCGGCTACCTGGTCCTGAATATCCGACCACCTGCACAATACCATGTGAGCCTCTATGCCAGATAGCAGGCAGAGACTACGTTTCATGTAGTGCGATGTCGATGAACCTGGACAGATTGTCAATGAAAATGATGTGAGCCGAATAATCGAAGACTTGCCAACAGCTGCCTTCAAAAATTTGCAGCTCCATTTGTGATGACTATACCAGGAATCACGCTGGCATCGCTTTGAGCAGTACCGCACAACCTGACATTCCGAGCATTGCCTAAGCTGAGTATCTTCTGTGGTATCACCACAGTAACACTGTTCTTTGGGTAAGTTGACCTGCAGGAACGAAACAACAAAGTCAGTCACTAACTCGTAGAATCCAGCCCTTTTTATCAGGTGATGGCCGCCTTATCTTTTCCTCCCTAGACTTGAGACTGGCATATAGTCGTATCTTCGTCTCAACTGCAGACCAACGCTTTCGGATAGTTTCGTCTGGTAACACATCTGGTCCAAGAGCATTAGACCAGGCATCCACATGTTTGTACGCGTAGGTCAAGATTTTGTCGTAGACGAGGAAAATGTCTAAGATCACAAGAAAACTTTTCTTGTAATCACGAAGATCCACCTCCACAGCGGGTCCTTGGATGCCCATGGCTATTTCGAAGGCATATGAGTGAAGAGCTTGATGTAACACTGGGACAGTGTTATTCGCACGTAAAAGGAGAGCAATGAGGTACAAGAAACTCTGGACGAGTGTGGATTTGCCAAACGTGGGATCCATGCTCTCTCCAGAAGAAAAAAGAAGTTGGATAATGCGACAAATCAAGAAAATCTTCTTAACGGATAGTCGTAGGATGAATTCTTCCCGCATTGCGGCGCTGTGCTTGCTTAGTTCAATAATGACAATAACGCAATTTGAAAACGTGTGTGTAAGCATGCCGAGTGATGTTGGAAGGCTTGTGACTTTATTAGGGTCCTGGGCCATTAATCCCATGTGCATGACATATTCCAGAGCTGTAGAAACGACCGTGCCAATGTCACCTGACACTTCGAGCACGGTTGTCATAAAGGCTTTGTAGTTCGTGCAGTCTGAAAACACCAATGGGATGACAATTTCAAGAGAAGCGAATTGAGGGCCATAGATCGATTGATTACACGGATGCTGGGGAATGATCAGCACATCCTCGTCTTTTATTTTGAGGGCGAGTAACCATAACTCTACGAGCAGATGGTAAATGGAGGGTGTGGTGATCAATACTGTGTCCCCGCCGTTTGTGATCATGTTATTGGCATGCTGCAGAATACAGCCAACCACGTCGACGGCTAGCCTCCTGCTAATTGGCCTATGGTTGGCTCTGCGCATGATAAACTGGCTATGAAAGAAGACAAGCCAGGGAGTAACACGGTTCCAGGCAGAAAACAGATATCTTTCTGGCTCAGCGCCAGGACACATGTTAAATGTTTTCATGATCCCAACAAGTGACCACTTTGCGAGCTCAATATCGGTGATGGCGGCTGGAGTAGACTTTTCAGGAATGAAATCTGGGTCGAGGTGTATGTAGAACACTGGCTGCAGCATACATAGCTCGGGTGCGGAGCAGTCTGTAAGTCGATCACAGAGCTGCTCAAAGTCAGCTACCGAACGATTCGACACTCCCTGCACCAGCTTCTGTATAATAATGGTACTCAGAGTAAAATGGGAATTTTCGGTAAAGCTCGGTAAAGCTCGGTAACTTCGGTTAGAAACTGACAATTCAGGCAGGAACAACACGCATAGGACATGCGGCACATCGGCATAGTTTCGGACTTCGAAAACTATGCCTGTCATTCGACCACCACGTCCTCGTCGTTCTGCACGCCTCAAGTGTTTGCAGCCCAAATCTATGGACTACAACCAAGGACCCGTCACCCGTGGCCGAGGAAAATCTCGGAGTACTCGAGGTAACGATCATGCTGCCCAGGCACCCAAGCTCGTCGTGCAGTGGCAGGCGGACCCCTCTCGCACCCAGAGGGTTATCGAGTACCTCCGCAACCATCCAGCAGACTGCCGAGTTCTGTTCTTTTCGGACGGGAAACAATCGCATACCGAGGGTGATCGCCCATCGGGCAAGGATAAACTCTCGGTTTGCTCTGTCGTCGCCCGCCATGTTTTCCAGGCTGATCCTAACTATGCGGCGCAATACGCTGAGGTGCCGGATAAGTTTCGCGACTCGACCAACAATCATATCATGAGGTACGATTTTTCGTATCGATTCACATGTGTACTAACATTCCCTCCAGTCTCAAAAAAAGGTTTCGTGAATGTCACGACAAATTAAACTCGACGGGTGCCGGCGTCATGCCAAACGACGTCGCTCAAAATCTGCACGGTATGTTTTTTATATTTATATTTAATCAGATTAAACTAATAAAAATTACAGCGCAAGTACTACATACGTTCCCGTGGTATGACGAGCTCCTCTCCATCATGGGGACAAACCCTGCTCTATCCGTCAAGACCGTCTCATCACGCCCTGGAACTGATCACGCTGCTAACTTCTTCGCTCTCACCCAAGGTGCCCAGACCTCTGGTCAGGCGCCCTTCGTCCCTGCGCCCTCTGGCCAGGCGTCCTTTGGCTCTGCGCCCTCTGGCCAGGCGCCCTTCAACTCTGCGCCCTCTGGCCAGGCGCCCTTTGGCTCTGCGCCATCTGGCCAAGCGCCCTTTGGCTCTGCGCCCTCTGGCCAGGCGCCCTTTGGCTCTGCGCCATCTGGCCAAGCGCCCTTTGGCTCTGCGCCCTCTGGCCAGGCGCCCTTTGGCTCTGCGCCATCTGGCCAAGCACCCTTTGGCTCTGCGCCCTCTGGCCAGGCGCCCTTTGGCTCTGCGCCCTCTGGCCAGGCGCCCTTTGGCTCTGCGCCCTCTGGCCAGGCGCCCTTTGGCTCTGCGCCCTCTGGCCAGGCGCCCTTTGGCTCTGTGCCCTCTGGCCAGGCGCCCTTTGGCTCTGCGCCTTCTGGCCAGGCGCCCTTTGGCTCTGTGCCCTCTGGCCAGGCGCCCTTTGGCTCTGCGCCCTCTGCGCCCTCTGTTCAGGCGCCCTTTACTGTCCCCCCCTTCGCTTCCTCCTCCTCGCCATCCGGGTACCATCCCTCCCATCCCGGCATCATCGCTCGCTCTCACCCTCCCGCGCCTGCCCCCTCCGAGTCCGATACGTATTGTGACAACAATTACGTCGGCGACGGATACGACGAGGACATGGACATGGACCTTCGCTTCGACGACGTGCCACAGCCGCAGCCTCCCGTAACGTCAAATTACTGGGAAGAGGAGGGTGACGTCACCATCTTGAACAGCCCCCCCAAGCCCAGAGCCTCCAAACGTCGGGCACGTCAGTCTGCATCCCCCTCATCATCTCGTTCCCCCTCGCCCAAGTCATCATCATTCGTCCTTCCCCCGAAATCGCAGACCTCCCTCCACGATAGTCGCGCTGCCTTCGGCAAGCGCGTGTCGAGGACAAGCCGGACCAGCGCCAACTCGCCAAAACCCTCGTCCAGCGGCTCCTCGCTGTCGAAAACGACGATGTCGGCACCTGCCTCCACCTCCCAGACGTCACAACTCCCATCCTCCAAGGGGAAAGGGAGGCAGGTGAAACGGGTGCGGTCGGATCTTCAAGGCGACCTGAACCGGCTCAACGACGAGATCGGAAGCGTCCAGTCGGACCGGATCACTCGGGGCGAGCTCAAGAACGAGCGTTACATGGCGAAGTACAACCTCGCCCGTCAGGTAAATGAGCACAAGTTTTTGCGCGAGGAGCGTGTACACTGCGACAAGGAAGCTGTCGCCACTCATCAGCGCTCCCAGGAAGCGAAGGATACGGAGATTCGCCTCCGCGAAGCGGAGGCGAAGATGCATGCTGCGCTGGCACATGCGCATGCTGAGGAGGCAAGAGCGCTTCAGCTGAAGATTGAGTACCAACGTTTGATGAGCGGTTCTAACTCTTGAGGGTGTTGTTGTAGTCTTACTGTTGTCCTTTTGCATCACATATCTCATGCTGTCCTTCATACTACATATGTTGTTATGTTAACCATTAGTCCTGTTCATGTTATGTTGATAGTTCATGTACTACCAGTTTTCAATGGACCATGATGGTGTTTCCTCTTGGCTTTGAAGGTGTGATGCTTGACATATGTTTTCTTGGATAAGTAATGTTTGATAACCTGAGGAGATGTTAGATGGTACATATAACTAGTACACTTGCTAGGATAAGCACCACAATATTAAGCAAGTGAAGAGACTGACCATCACAGTGCTCTAGGTTTATTAGCTTTCTTTGCAACGCAAAGAAAGCTGATTTCAAACCTAAGCAGCTGTGATGGTCAGTCTCTTCACTTGCTTAATATTGTGGTGCTTATCCTAGCAAGTGTACTAGTTATATGTACCATCTAACATCTCCTCAGGTTATCAAACATTACTTATCCAAGAAAACATATGTCAAGCATCACACCTTCAGAGCCAAGAAAACATATTCAAGTGGAAATTTGTAACTACAACTGCTATCCCTGTCTACGTTGTGCCTTTGAGTGAGGGCTGTCAAACAAGAGATCCATCAACCTCTCACGACGAGCATGACCTGGAGTCCCTTCATATAACCTATCACCTACTTGGTCATTACCATCTGGTCCTTCAGCTGCCTCTTGAGACATAAAGTTTCTAGCCTCTTGACAAGACCACTTGACTGATCCCTGGTCCTCTGTCAGAGCATGTTCTTCTTCAAACCGTATGATCATGTTGTGTAGGATCAGACAACACTGAATCCAATGGACTGCTGTCCGTAAGTCATCTGCTGAATTGATATTCTGTCGGAGATCTCGAAGAGATTGAAACCGCCCTTTCAATGCAGCAAATGCATGCTCCACTCGTACACGGACCTAGATAAATCAAATTTAAATCAGAAAAAAATGGAAAAATAAAGGGACAAACTGTAGAAAGGTGATAATTGAATGTCCTCTGATTTGCTGTCAGCCGTCCATTGCGGGGCTTCTTGAAAGGGGCAATGCACCAGGTGTCCAGTGGATAAGCACTGTCTGCCCAGACCCAGTGGCCAGCTGGAAGAAGTGTGTCATGTTCTTGATAGATACGAGTAGATCTGAATGCGTATGCATCATGGATGCTTCCAGGGTGACCAAGAGAATAATCAACTATGAGAAGATTGTGGGGCATAATGACTGCCTTGAATTTATTTTAATTTTAAACCATGAAATTAAAAAAAAAAAAACATACCTGACAGCCCAGGGAATATTTGGATTTCCTGTCATAAAAAGACTGGTGATAAAATCCAGGTGTCTCATACAGGTCAATTGATGTCCCATCAACAGCTAGGACTCCATTCTGCCACTCAGGGCAAGTGGTCACCCGTGCAGTATATTGCCGAGCAAGCTCAAAGTCCTGTGAATCAGGTGGGGGAAAACCCATGAAGGCATCATGCTGGTCAAGCAGTGCAACCATTATACGATTGGTGCAGTTAACCACAGACCCAACACTAATACCAGCCCATTCAGATACATCCTGGAGAGTGGCAGAATTACCATAGTGGCCGACACGGTTGAGAAAAATAGCAAGTTGAATAGAGATAGGAAGCTGGAGGTTGTTGGAATTGTTATGAAAAATGGGGTGGCCAGAAATGAGATTGAGGATGTCATCGAAAATTTCGGGGTCGACACGTAGTTTATGATGAAATAGATGAGGGCGATGTTCCCCAAAATGGACAAGGAGGTGCAGCTGTGAGGCTCGTGGGATAGGCTCACTGGGTCTATGGAGCACACGTGCCCTCTCTACCTCATCCCGAAGACTTGCAATGGAATCTTGAAGACGGTCGTAGTGAGCAGTGGTATGGTTGATGTCATCATCAGATGAGTCATCAGAGAAAGAGTCGGAGGAAGAACTGGAGAAGCCAGATAAAACTGGAGAAAGAGGAGATGGAGGGGTTAACATGATGCTCATGAAAAGGTCAAGGTCTGAGTCACGGGTAAGATCGAAAGAGTCGAGACTCGAGGCAGAGTCTGTAGTAGACTCGTCGTCCTCCAGAAGATGTTGGTATCGGGCTGTGGCTACTGCAAGTGCAGATACATCGATGTCATGCAGCATTTGTGCACGCTTTGACTGACGAGGCATGTTGGGAATCAGGGGATCAAAACTCCTGTCTATCCCTGGCATATGTGACGCACTTTGCGGCGGAGTTTGAAAATTTCGGCAAATTCCGGTGTTTCAGCTTGCTGTGCTCATGTACCTCGTGATCATCACACCCCCTCACTCAGCACTCAACGACGCTCGCGCGCAGCCCACCTCCCTCAGCGAACCGCCAAGGGCTTCTAACATGCTAGGTACGTACAAACTCCTTCTCAACCGTCCTCCGAAACTCCTTCTCAAACGCCCTCAGCGTCTCCAGGCGTTTCACGCTGCCTACCTCCCTAACTGAGCCTCCAAGCGCTTCTATCGCGCCAGGTACTCCCTCCGAAACTCCTTCTCAACCGCCCTCCCAAACTCCTTCTCAACCGCCGCCCTCCGAAACTCCTTCTCAAACACCCTCCGAAACTCCTTCTCAAACACCCTCCGAAACTCCTTCTCAACCGCCGCCCTCCGAAACTCCTTCTCAAACGCCCTCCGCGTCTCCAGGCGTTTCACGCTGCCCTACTCCCTCACCGAACCCCTAAGCGCTTCCAACACGCCAAGCACTCCCTCACGCAGCACTCAACTCGCGCGCAGCGCACCTCCTCACAGAACCGCCAAGCGCTTCTATCACGCCAGGCACTCCCTCCGAAACTCCTCAAACACCTTCCGCGTCTTCGGGCGTCTCATACCACCTTGTGCCATCCTCCTCCAGTTGACGAGGATCATTCCAATTTTATTGATGCACGCAGCAGTAGATTTTTTACTTTACAGCACGTACCCTCACTGTTACATGTAGATATCGACTTAGTATTTTTTTTCTTGAAATCTTATCTACTTTGCCTATGCTACTTTCGTTTCACTAAGTGTCGTTTGAATGTCCGACATCGTGCCGATGCATATGCCGAGTCTTACTGCTCGAGTTTTGTCCATCTCTAACCGAGAGTTAGCGACATTTAGCGACTTTAGCGACGATTAGCGACGATTAGCGACGTTTAAATTTTTACTCTGAGTACCTCTAATATATCAGTATGCAGCGATACCAACAACCTAGTAAGGATAGATCGCAAAACACTCGCCTGTATGTCCTGGGGCAGCTGTGATAGTAGTATCGCTGAGATCATTCTCAGTAGAAATGGGGGATGACAGGTGGTGACTGAGTCTCTCGTAGCTAAAGGACTTGAGATCTAATGCGGCAATCTTCGGCCCTCGAGGCCTCATGTTCATACGCTGGATTGGATATATGCGCGAAGCGTAATTATCGATATCGAGAAGTATAACTTGTGTAAATAAATATAAATAGTGTTTGCGTCCGAGTCAGTCGCGCATTGAAAGATATTTACACGACCATCCCAAACCCTACTACAGACGATAGATGAAGCTAAGCTGATGACAGGCCACATAGCCCTAATGTAATTGTACTACATATACAGTGCGTGAGGGGTAAACAGAGCGACTGGAGAAAGCAATGAACGTTGACATTCGTACCAGAATCAGAAGTGATATGACTGCGTCATCCCTTTCGGGGCTGGCAGCCAGAACCGATACAGCAGATCAAAGAACAAACACAAGCGAGACCTGCCGAAAAATGTACAGTAATTCACACATCCTGAACGTTACCGTTGAACGTTTGCGGCACTATCTCCATATCTAATGCAATACACGGACTGAATAAAATTTGCCGTGCCGCATATCGATCGTGTATCGTGATAACTGAACAAAGGAATAGTCCTTGAAGTTGGCCCCTCGAATCTGGCCAAGATGATAAGCGGTCCACGACCTCATTTTCAGAGAGGCCATCGAACAGGAAGAGGTAGTTTCGAAGAGGTCGAACTAATTCTTCGTTCTTATCAAGAGCTAGCTCGACCACGAGTCGTTCCCGATCTTCCGGATATTCATACCGTGCAGCGACGACCAATCTCAAAATATTGTCCCACTTGCGCTGCTTATGGCCAACTTCTAGAGCGGCTAGCAGACGCAGACTACGTTTCACGTGGTGTGGTATCGATGAGCCTGGGTACATTGTCAGTGAAAATAATACGCATATCTTAACATCGAAAAGACTCGCCGACAGCTGCCTTTAAAAATTCACAGCTTAACCTATGGTGACTATACCAGGAATTACGCTGGCATCGCTTTGAGCAGTACCGTACAACCTGACATCCCGCACATTGCCTGAGACGAATGTCTTCCGCAGTACTACCGCAGTGACACTGGTAGTTCTGAGTCGACGAATCAGCAGGAACGAAGCTGAAGAAATGAAGTCTATGACTGACTTGTAGAACCCAGCCCTTTTTACTTAGTGATGGCCACACTATCATTTCTGCCCTGGACCTAAGTATCCCATATGATCGTATTTTCTGCTCTAGTTCGGACCAGACATCCCAGAGGGGTTTGTCTTGTCTCATGATTGGTCCGAGATCATCAGACCAGGTGTCCACATGTTCAGAGACGTAGGACAAGATTTTGTCGTGAAGAGTGTAATCGGTTAAGATCCTAAGAAAAGCCTCATTGGCCATATGAGGTTTCCCCGGTCCCACTATATCCACTGACAGGTGTTCAGAAGGACTTATATGTATCATGGTCTCGACAGCGTGTGCACGAAGGGCTTGATGGAATACTGAAACAGGGTCGTCGGCATTTTCAAGGAGAAGGCGGATGTACGGAATAGTTGAGCGGAGGGCCCCCGTCATGCTCCCTCTGCCCGGAGGAAGAGACTGGAGAACACGAAGAGTCGAGAAAACCTCTTTGAGGGACTGCCGGAGGATGTATGCTTCCCGCATCGCAGCATCGTGCATGCTCGTCGATAAGATAATTGCAACACAGCACGAAAACATTGATACAACCAGCTTGAGCTTGAAAGCGTCAGAGGCTATATCGGGGTTTTTAGCCATCGACCGTATGTTTTTGACATACTTCAGAGCTGCAGAGGCGACGGCGTCGACGCCACCTGATACTTCGGCTAGTATGGTCAAAAAAGATTTGTCGCAAATACATTCTGCAATCACAAAGGTGCCGAAAATGCGAAAAGAAGTGGTGCGAGCGCCGGCCCGCGATGACAAGCACACTACATCTCTGTCTTTGGTGTTCACGGCTAACAACCACAACTCCGCGATTGGGCAATAAAGGACGGGAGTGCTAAGCACTGATATTTCGGTGCTGTCGCTCTCAATGACAGAAACATGAAATAGCAAACTAGCGACAAGCCTGATGGCAGCCATCTTGTCGACAGGTCGATAGTTGGCTCTGCACATAATGAATTGGTCATGAAAGAAGACAAGCCAGGGAACAACACGTTTCCAGGAGGAAACGAGATGATACTTTTCTGAACCTGCCGAGTCTGAGTCAATGCCAGAACCATTGGTATGCAAAGTTGCAACAATCGCGAGAAGTGACTGGTAGGCGAGCTGGATATCAGCGGTAGCGGCTGGGGTCGACTGTGCAGGAATGCGGTCTGGGTCGAGATACACGTAGAACACTGGCTGCAGGATAGATAGCTCAGAGGCCATCAGAGAACCTGTGAGAAGAAGATATCGTCATATATCGTTATATATCGTAATATATAGGAAAGGTTTTCGTCACATTGTAATATAAAGTGATATAAAGCAATATATGACCATGTAAAAGCACCATAATCAGCATAATCCCCAGCAAGAACTCACCGGTTTACTGATGGCCGATGTGGAGCAATCTGGAAGTCGATTGCACAGCTTCTTAAAGTCTGCAACCGAACGATTCAACACTCTTCGGACCAGCCTCTGGGTGACATCGGTTACGGCGGCAAAATAAGGGCCGATCGCAAAACACACCTGCACATCATGGGGCAGCTGTGACAGTAGTGTCGCTGGGATCATTCTCGCAGTGGGTTTATGATCGATTGATCGCTAAACTGATTTACTGAGGGGCTGCTGACTCAGACCAAGTCTGCCAAATATAGAAGATTCTTTTCGTTCGTTCCTCTTCATGATGTTTACAGAAAATACGGATGCCTTCCTTAGTACCGACTTTCCCGCCCATACGATGCCACACAAACATCCTAGAGCGCTTCCTAATATACCGTAGAAGGGAACTTACTCGACAACTGGACTCATGAGATCAAAGGCGTGTTCGGCCATCCAGACAATCATCTGGATTGTGCGGAGCGACTCTTTGACACCCACTTTTGAGGGGCTCACATAAATGGCAGGAGTGAAGTCCCTTGGGGTCGTAGACTCGGACACGATCTTGTTATAAGCTTCATCTATCGTCTATAGTAGAGTTTGGGGTGTAAATACCTTTGCCCGACTGATGCAAATGCTATTTATACTCGTCTAATGTTGGAGGTCTTTATTTATACTCTCGACCTCCAGTCGGCTTTCTATTCTGAATGCGAACCTCGGTAAGGCGATATCATTGATAAGCGTTTCGTGGCGTAGTATGAATCTAGTGAAACCTTGTAAGCTTGCATTTCAAACTTGAGGGTCAATGGGTCAATTCGGCCAGTCGGCAGGAATGACACAACAAAGTCTGTTACTCGTAGATTCAACCCTTTTCATCAGGTGATAATCGTCTTCTTAGTTCCCCCCTTAGACTTGAGACTTGCATATGATCGCATCGTCATCGTGATCTCGACTGCGGACCAGCGCTCCTAGATGGTTGTGTCTTGCATTGCGATTGGTTCGACAGCATTAGACCAGGAGTCCACGTGTTGCCACGCATAAGTCAAGCCTTTGTTCTGAATGAGGTAATTGTGCAATCTCGTGAAAATACTTACCTATGCAGATGGCACCCCCGGGGGTCTCGAAGGACCCAGCGCTGTTTCAAGGGCACATGAGCGGAGAGTTTGGCAATAATGTAGCACTCGTAGCACCAAGATAGTGTTAGTGTCAATGTCATCGGATGGCCAAGGAAATCCGAGTCAGCGAGGTACTACCTCAAAACCCCAGAAGATTGACGGTTAGAGTCTCTGCTCCATGGTCCCTGCAGAAGACAGAGGATGACACGTGAGGCTGAGTAAATTTCTTCGATGAACTGTCGGATCCTCGGAGGATGTATTCTTCCCGCATTACGATGCTGTTACTCCGAGTACTCAGTACTCATTTCCCGACCTGCGTCATGTTTGAAACATTTGATGCATAACAAAAATAGGCTACTTAACGGCTTGAAGAACAGGCACCCAAGTCTGAGTCTTTAGTTGCTGTTCTGATGCATCAGAATGATATTGTAGCATGGGATTTAGGGACAACGAGACCAGGGACATGGACGAGCTGGAACTGAAATTGACCGAGAACTGAATTTTGGTTCGCTATACTTTTCCCACATACTATCGCTGATCGGGTTGGCCCTGTACCCGTTAGCACTTGGCAGGCAACCTTCACAGCAAACTTGGATAGACTGAAACTTTGAAGTCGGTGCCTGCCCATCCCCTCTCGGATGGATTTCTCTCTTACGTCGAGACGGTCGAGCGCACCATATACTACTGGTGACTGCGCGGCGTTCGCGGTAGAGGTGGTCTACACACCACTGTCACATCGCCGTCCTTCGTGCATTCACTCAGAGTCACTCTTGGCTGGCCACACGGTAGAAAAGACACCGGAATGCAGAATGTCAGACCCTAGGAATCAGAAGGCGGTACCGTGCAGTATCGATGATCACGAACAGCCTTGACAGGTTCATGTCATTGTCTAACGCTATATAATGATGATTCTCGGCGTGTCAGCGTTATCTAGGATGCAATCTCCCCACCTCGAATCTGCCCCATTCCTCTTTTGCAAGGTATCACTCGACTGCATTTGCGTCTCTTCTTGACATCTTTCGCTTGTCTTCCTCATTTCTCGAGTATGCACTTCGTTCGCTTCTTTACCTGTATTGCTTCTTGTCTCTCTGTTGCTCGTGCTTTCAGTGTGACTGTTGGGACTCCCACTCAGTGTGGCCCTCTCAACATTTCATGGACTGGTAAGCGCATATCTAGTACACTTTATACGCTCCCGCTGAATGTTATCGGGGTCGTCAGGTGGGCAAGCACCATTTGAAATACTCTTAGCTCCCGTTCGTCGGCGCTATTGTCTCAAGCGCGTCAATTGTGCACTAACCTCTGTGCTTTCCAGTCTTTACAAACGTATCAGAATTATACCGTACCAGCATCGGGCTTCAGCAATGGCAAAGGCTCTTTTTCGATACTGCAATTGCCATTGCCGACGGGAACTACGTTTCTACTCGTCATGTCTGACGCTACTCGGTTTGGTTCGGGGGGGACGACAAACATATTAACTGTCGGGAGTTCAGTTGGAGATAACGTTTGCAGCACTGCAGTTTTGTCACCTCCTTACACGTTCCAGTTGGATCCACTTCCGCCGATACAATGCAGGTAAGTTTGGTTCGCCTACTTTTTGTGGCACTGACCTACCACTACTGCAGTCCATTTACCATCCTGGCTCAAAGTACTGCAGTCCTGCCCATTACTATTGTGGTCAGATCATCACGAATTCTATGGAAATAATCTACTTATCTTGCCACAGCAACTTATTCCTGGCGGACAATTGACTGTATTCTATTCCAATAACAACAGTTTTACTTCAGTCACAGATGTTACTGGAGGGACAAACCTCATGTATTTTGTTACCGACTCCTTGGGCAGACAAGGTGGGATCTCTGGGTTCGAACAGGTGGTAGGAACGGGTAATTTCTCGTGCATAAGCACCACCTCGCCATCAATCACTGCAGGCATATCATCCACGACCACAACTCCATCTACTTCAAGCAGTTCAGCAAGCAGTTCGGCTACAACTGGCACATCAAGCAACGATGTTGCTATTATCGCGGGCACAGTGGGCGGCAGTGCGGCGGTCCTTATAGGATCGATCATACTCGGCATGTGCTTGTGGCGTAAACGGAGAGCATCTCGCCCTGCGGACGTTCGGTCTCCCACACAAAGATATCCAGGTCAACTGCAGCGTACAGATCCAAATTACAAAGTCAGCCCTCACGGCGACATTCCGTCGTCATTCCCTTTCCCATCCGAAACACAAACCTACTATGTCCGACCCATTCAACACAGCCTGGGAGCCCAGTCAGATATGACCAATCCGTCCGCCGGCAACTTCGCTCTTGGTGCACATGCCTCATCATTCAACCAGACACAATATTCGCGCCAGAGCTCTAACACAGACTCTCCTGTCTACGGTGATGTTCGTTCGACTGTGTCATCCGCTTACAACCGTCAATCACCCCCGTCTTTCGGAAACTTCACTACCAACGATCCTCGCACACCATTCAATCAGACATCGCATTCACGCCAGGGCTCAAACGCAGACTCTGCTGCGTATGGAGACACTCGAAATTTGGCTATGTCATCTGTTGACAGACGAATGACTACCGTCGCTGAAAGTCCATCACAATTATCACAGGAGGCAGATCCTATTAGCTACCTTGGTCCACCCATCCAATCCGGATTGCAATCAAGCCCCCTTAATGCGCTTGCCACCAACTTGGCGGCTAGGGACCATCATGCGCCCTTCAATCAGGCACAACCTTGGCACCAGAGCTCTAACACAGACTTCGCTCCATATGGAGACGCTCAAATGTCGGATGTGGCACCCGTCGAGTATATGGCTGTGGGGGCTCGACCAACACCACCATCGCCACGGAAGACAGTTCCTGTATACCTCACTCCACCCGTTCAACCTGGAATCCAATCAATTGCTACCTCTGCGGACAATATCGCAGTTAAGAACTCCCTCACACCCTTTAATCAGACACAAAATTTCTCTCAGAGCCCTGACACAGACAGCTTAGCTGTGCACGAAGCATCTGGAGGTCAAACTATGGCGTCGGCTAACGCGCAAACTGGCGCTGATAATGTTGTACCAGGCAACAATAGTTCGGTTGAACCCCCGCCGCAGTATTCAGATGGTCGGGAAGTACGTGTCTTGTAATCTGAGTCTGTGTCATGGCTACGTCCTCATACTCTTGAGTCTTCGGAAATGGATGGGTATGCCTATTAACGCGTTCGTTTGCACATGATTTTATTTCGTTCGAGTGTTTCAAGCCTGTCTTCAGTAATGAAGTACAAGGCCTACTTTGATTTGGTCCCTATGTATGATATTTTTCTTGAGCGTCCTATGATATATAATGACATGTACTTTAGTGACACTAGGAAATATGGTGTCATTTCCAAGATATCGATACTGTAGATAATCACGGGTCAATTCGAGCAATGGTTAATCGATTAATCTTTCAACTCCAGTGACGATGCCTAGTTCTTAACATAATGGTAACTGACCCTGTAATTTTAGCTGGTCTTCAAGTTTCCGTTCTGCGACAGGTCCCAAACAAACTTGGATTTACGGTACAGCAAGTTTGTAAACAGCTCAAGATGTGTGTATAGATTCGGTCTACGTTAGTACGCCGGGAAAGAAAAGTCAATTGACAACGAATGCTTGGCTGCGACTTCCTCATGACTGAAGTTGGTCATTCTCCGTCAACGCCCCATCAACGTCTACATGCGCATCGACCGTTTCGTCTCTGACAGCAACCTTGACGTCCCATTCCTTGATACCAACTTTCCCGCCCATGCGATGCCACACTACGAACATACTAGAGCGCCTTTCCTCGCATAGTTTCACAAGCGCTTCCCAATATACGCAATGGGAGTACGTAAACTGTTGTGAGCCATTCCAACCCTCCTGGATAAGCTGGTCCGGCTCAAATACTCGTGATATGCTGTCGGCGTCCCAAGCTTCCGCATCTGCAGTTGTCCTAAACAGACCATTCTCGTTGATGACAGGGTTGAAGACCAACTTCTGCCGGGTATAGGGATCCATGAATGGCATGAGTAGTGCAATAAATGCGTTCAAAAGCCAGGGAAGATGTGCAACGAGCGCAAGGCCGAGGCGTTCTGGATAGTGTGTTTGAATGATGTCCAGCGTCGTGCGACACAAGCCAAATGACGGGTTCTTGGTGCTGTCTGCATAATCCACCAACAATGCAAGGGTCCTACATGGTGCTGAGATAAGTTCTGAAAGAAATGTGATGCGCAGAAGGGAACTTACTCGACACCTGGACCCATGAGGTCAAAAGCGCGTTCGGCCATCCAGACCATAAGCTGCATTGTGCGGAGCGACTCTTCGGCACCCACTTTTGAGGGGCT